TCGTTCTCCCTGTTTGTGGTTGGTTGAACTGGGAGCGGTGAGGTGTGGTAGAGAGTTTGTGAAGGCGTTTGGAGATTGTTTGTGAAGAGGGGGCTTTTTTTGGAGACGATTGGGCTGGTGTTAGTCGTGATCTTAGTTCATCTCCTTCAGTGGATGGGCAGGACAGGAATGGAAGTGAGCTTGGGAGACCCTGGGACATAACGCCCAAAGCCTGAGTGTTCCACGTCACATTATGTCTTATCCCCCTACATACGCATTGACAAAACAATGGTAGAGATGTGAATCTGTTTACAATTTACTGTCAAATATGTGGCTTGCAATCATATAGTCAGTCACATTCATAAAATATCTTACCATAAGATCAGTTGTCTCAGGTCACCTTCAAAATGACAAACAAAAAGCAAATATGAACAGAAAATCAGAGTGAATGAGTGGTGGAAAAAGCAACTGGAAGCTCCTGCACTAGATGACTATGCCTGATGTAACAGTGCAGCTCAGCTAACAATGCCCAAGATATAATGTTACTGACATCAATGAGAGGATAAAGAGATTAGCTGGGCCAACAACAGATGCTTTCATCGGCCAGGATGATTACAAAGATTTTAAAGCAGTGGCAGTCACTGTCACTCTCTCTCAGGTGAAACCAGGGCCAATATTATGAGGCTCTTAACAAGGATTTGTCTTGGCGGATAACACTAAATACAATCTAAACAATTAATGATTTTCTTTTCTTTACCTATAACATGTTTGAATTAACATGTTATTTAGTTAACAGCACACATATTTAACTCAATTAATGAGTTCTTATCTGCTATGATTGTGTGACCTGCTCCACATACTCACCAACTGAGCACCGGCCCTGAGCGTTGGGCTGTGGCACGTCCACCAGTGTGCTGACATCATCGAGCAGCACCTGGGTAACCCGTGACACTTTTTTCCTCAGGTTCCCATAGACAGAATTACCCACCCTGTGCAGGAGGCCCCTCCTCAGCCCATCCAAACTCTGCACCAGAGCTAGATTTTTCTGTGCCAAGTGGCCACCTCTCTCTCCTACACCTGAACGTGATAACGCCTGCAGCAGTAAACTTTGCATGGAGTCTGGATCATCCTCTGTGGCCATTGTGTCTTCCAGAGATGCATTTCCAGACAACTCATTCTGCCTCATGGCCTCGGGAGGCATGCTGAAGGGCTTTAAACGTTCAAACACATTTGAGCCCTTACTGTGTTCAGCACCTTCCCCTGCTGGGTGTAAACTGACCACAGGCTTCCAGTTGCGTGTTTCTAGGAAACGCAGTAGCTGCTGAAGCCAGCTTACACTGAAGGCACAGTCACTGCGACCCTTAAGAGCACAGATAAAGCCCTGCAGGCCTGCGCTTGCCTGGCCATAGGTCCCACTGACCATAGCCTGAAGCGCAGCTTCCAGCACAGCGCTCACTGTCCTCCAGTTCTGAGACAAGTACGTCAAGAGGGGCCTGTGGGGCTGACGCTCTGATAGAGTGATCAGACTCTGCAGCAGCCCCAGCAGCCAGTCCCAGTGAGGGCTGCCCCGCAGGGACAAAAACCAGTCCTGCACTCTGACGCTGGGTCTGGGTGGCACCCGGCCATTCCACTGGTTCAGCACAGCACTCCCTTCAGATTGGAGAAAGAAATGCAGCACTTTCTCCCACAGCTGCTCCTCATCTGGCTGTATCGGTGCCTCCTCCAGCTCAGCGCCCATCTCTTGGAGGTACAGAGAGATGTTGTAGAGGAAACCAGAGAGACGGTGCCTGTCAATTGGCTTGTTCAATGAGGGCAGGTTCTTGCTGGGAAGGAGACCGAGTGTTTTCAGGCTCCCCATGATATTCCTCATCCAAGGGTGCACAGACTGGTCCTTGTTGGTTTCTGGAGGAGCTTCACTTCCTGTGCTCCATTTTGAAATGATCTCCTTGAGAATGGCGCCTCTCTGGTCCTCTCTGCTGCCTCCTAAAAAAGTCCCATTATAGACAACTTGAGCTGGCACTATATACACAAGTATTAAAAACATACAAATATTGTATTTATTGACATGTTTTGGTGGTGCACTCACCTGTCTTCTCAGGGGATCCATGTCCCAGTAAAACAGCACAAACGATGATGCTTGTGAAAAGAGTGGCCATCCCTGGCCCTTTCTCTGCCATCTTCATCTCATGCCAGCATGCACAGTGACACAGTTGTGTCACATTTTTCTCTTCAGGCTGTTTTTCCTGTTGATTTCACAACACCGCATGTTTTAACGGATGCTGCCTTTTCTTTAATTTTCAGTGATGGGATGGACTCAAGGAGTAAAGTATCTCAGTGGAGAGGGGACATTAAACCTTAATGACTGGCTACCACATCACCTTACCACTTTCCCTGCATGGTTACTTAAACAAGTATCAGTAATGTACTTAACTTTAAACTTTCAAACTGTCAAGTATTAAAGGTAGGTCCATATGTGATTCCTCAAAAGAGTGACCAAAGAAAAGCTATGAACATTTGGTAACATATTTAAGAGCAAATACACAGTTCTGATTCTTAAAGAGAACAGTTTGACAAGAATATACACTCACAATAATGAAAATGACAACAAATTCAGAACTTACCAACTGTTATAGTCCATTCATTTCTTTATATGTCCCTTCAAGCTTTTGCCATCATCTCTAACCCTGCAGTATCAACACACTCAGGGCTGACCTCTTTCTGAGAGCAACTCTCTGTTTCACCATGACTCCGACTTTCTCTACCTTCACTCTCTCCTCCTGCACCCCTCCCACCTGTCTCCTCTCTCTCTCTCTATGCTTTTAGCTGTTCAGGGAACTTGTTTTTCTTTTGTCTCTGGGGTTTAAGATGTGATGTTTGGATTCATATTTAATGAGTTATCTTGCCATGCTAAAGCTCCATTGTTTTGTTATGCTATGTTTTTTGGCTGTTTTCTATGACAATGAACAGAAGAAACGGGGGAACCTTGTGAAAGGGTTTGGGTGTACATGGTCCCTTAACACAGGACTTGTCTCTCAGTCCTTCAGGTCACAGCTTGTATTTGGATGTACAATATATTGTATTTCCAGCTCAGTATTTTGGAGCATCACAAGGCTACAGGAAGGTCACAGCACTCAGCTAGGTGCTCAAACAAGGTGAAAATCTGGATCATGTTAATCACACCCAGGATATCTATCCCATTCTCTAACTGTCTGATGCCTCCCACTGACTGATTCCCTATTGAGTTGTCTCTCAGCTGGGACTCATCTCGTGACACTGGGTTTGTTGGGGGTGTAGTCTTACAGACAGGGCCGGGCCAGCAGGACTGTGCGGGCTGTCACTGTTTAGACACATTTATCCCTCGGTCAGGCGGACTTACAATTGAGCCCTGTGCAAGGGCACAGCAGCAGGCTCCCCAGAGTCAGACCACTGTCTGCAGGCCCTGAAACCCTAGAGGGCTGAGTGAAAGGACCACCCCCTCCCTCCACTTGCTTTAGCTGTATGATACTGTGGCTTGCACAGGGACAATAACTTCCTCCTGTATTATTGATACCACAGGGAACAGCGATCACTCAGTGCACTAGGGCTCGATTCACCACAGGAATATTCAATGAGAAATTGGATCCACCCCATACGTTCCTCCTCTCACTGCTGGAAACTCAGGCATGGCAGAAATCAGCTGGTGAAACTAGCTGTTGAGATTGGAATACTTGGTTTGAGTCCAACTTTTAGCCCCCATCTTCCAGTGGAAATATATAGTCATAAATACCTCAAATGACCACTAAAATGAGTGGATTTTTGCTGTAATTTACTGAAATTAGAAGCTGAAAAGTTATTTTACTTGCTTTTCTAACCATGATTGGTATCTTTAAAGTGCAGCTAATGGAGGTAAATGTTTGTGTAGATAAAATAGTTTTTAAATATCTTTAAAATCTTTTAATCATCACTCCACTGTACAACAATTCACATTAAACATGTTTTATATCCAGTATCCAAGTTACAATAAAAAGAATCAGAAAAAAAGAAAGATACTTATATTGATACACACAGAAAACACACCCTCTTAGCATTGGATTTTCCATTGAGGGAACCTTAAACTTTATCATATTAATTGTTTATTTGTTTAGAATTAATTGTACAAAGCTTTTTTGTATAGAACACAGGATAACAATTCATTCGACCAAAATGATAATGATTATTTCTACTGCACTTATTGGCTGCTGTAATTAGTATTCTTAGAAAGGTTTTAATATGATTGGTAAAGGTTGTAAATGTATAAATATCCCCAAAAAGGAACGGACAAGGGTCTGTGGGTCTACGTTCTTTGATTGCTGTAGTCAAGGTCTCAAAAACAAATGGTTGCAGTTCCAAAACACACACATAAAATGTCCCACTTCTACTTCACATCTGACTGCGACAAAAGTATAATCAATCAATCAAATTAAATTGTAGTTGCCAGTAGTTGAATGTCAAATTAAGATTTTAGTCCCATTTTCTGCAACACTTTCATAGATCAATAGAATCGTAGATTGGTACAAAGACCATCCACTTTAACTGTCAGATAACAAATCAATGTGGTGTTTCTTGTTTGTTTTATTTGTATCACTTAATGTTGAATGACCTCCACTGTAGTTCTTGTTTTCTAGAGTGACATCAAATCCATAATTCTTCCTTCCTCCTTCATGTCAGCCATCCATATTGAGAACCCAAATACCAAAATATGAAAACAAAAACAACTGCTGTAATTATAATTAATCAAATTAAATTATAACTGGACTGTAAAGGACTTTAACTGTTAACAGAAGTTTTACAGCACTAGTTATGTATTACATGTCTACACAGCCGGCTATAAACCCATCACCAAGTACAGATTGCAGGAAGCTGTTGAAATGTTGAAGCTGCTGCTGTGAGCCAGAAGCCTCATTTGAACATCAGCATGTGGCTCAGTTAGCTGTAAAAAACACCCCACAGAGGTTGGTGTTATGGGCTTATAGTTCATAAAGCAGCAATAACCCTTGTCTTCATTTATTTTTTCTTGTTTCTTTATTCAAGAGCAAAGACGAGGAACATACATCTTTTAACATAACGTCCTTTTGTGCTTTACAAATGATCAAAATCAAAGGCACTTGTTGAATCTGTGGGAGACATTAATGAATTTACAGTAACATAACAAGGCACCAATACCTTGAACTCACTTTGTTGAATTCCACATGCATTTAAAATGTTGATACAGAGGGCAGAGGCTTTATTAAAAATGTTTTTTTAAAGACAACCCCCTCCCTGTACAGATCTGTATCTCTCTCCATGCAGGGATGGATTAATGAACAGACCTATCTGGCATGGGCCCAGGGGTCGTAGCGGTCAGGGGGCCCATAAAGCCTCTATGAGGTTATTTCAAAATTCCTTGTTGGAAAGTCAAAGAGTTGAGTCAACAGTAGGGATGCCCACGTTTTCTTGCTCCCAACCCTGTTTGAGATATTTTGATTAATTTTTTACAACGTAAAACCGCTTCACATTGCATATTTGAGCTACAACAGCTCTACATTATAGTAAACATTTTAATGTTTTATAGTAGCTCTGCAGGTTTCCTTTGATGGTTTCCCATTATATACACGGGTTGTGTCCTGTAGTACATATGGATGTGCTGTGGCAGGGAATGGTTGGAGAGCTTCTCTTTATCTCTAGCAATAACAATATAATGAAGTTCAGGTTCAGCTTTAACAGCAGCAAATGGGAGTTACTGCAAAATGTTGCAGAAATAGATTTAAAATTAGATAAATTATCTGCACAATTCAAATATGTCTCCATGCCATGTCCAAGTCGTTTCTGGCATTGGTTATTTTTTATGGACACACTTAAAAACACAAAAAGAAACAGTCATAAAGTAAGTGGACAGTGACACCTGTTGCTCGTTCGCTGAAATTAAAAACTTGACAATTACCACCAACAGAATACATGGTTTAAATAGTAATGTACTCTAGAGAGGACCAACACTGCGCTGAAGATTTGTTGTGCCACATTGCCGTCATTGCAAATTCTATGGAAACAGCATGCAAAGTTTCAGTTGCTACAATAGAGAGATCAGAGAACAAAAACAGCTGAACTAGTCCTTTAACTAGTACTGTATTTAGCTTAGCAGAGTCAGTGGGATTCATGTGATTTGGTTTTAAGCCTCTTTTAAATCACATATTTCGATGTATTTAATTCTATATTAATTTATTCAATGTACATCCTACATATGGATAGACACACGACAAACCAAAAGTACATTACATACTCTATGATCTATTTTATAAATGATAAAAGAAAAAATAAAATTGTCATAGTGACAAATGACTTTAAAAGGACGAGAAAGCTGCAGTAACACATTTGGTTTGCAGATGTTTTCCCTGCCAGAGTGCAGCTTTTAGTTATTATAGTTGGTCTATGGAAATTATTTTAGGGGTAAAATAATTAGCCCAAAGGGTATAAATTAAAGGCATTACAATCTTTTTATCTGTCCTACAGTTTGCCAGCCAGTGTGAAAACTTTAAACCCTTTTTTCTTAACGTTACTGACTCAATTATGTGTCTCTGTCTTTGGAACACATTGGAATCAAGGGCATGATGGATGTAATACTATAAACTCCACAACCATTATTTTCTCATAAATACAAGATACCAAGTCATAATTAAGAGTAAACAACATTTCATGTTAACATTTTTGTGTTACTGAACATCAACACGTCAGGTTCTAAAGGCTCTAAAGAGATCACGTGCAAAGAAAGTGAGATTTGCTGTAAATGGTTCAGTCTTTCATTTCATTGCTTCTCATTTTGGGGCAAACCCAAGATCCAAGTCTTGACTTCTCCCAGCGAGACTGCTGTCAAAGGGCTTCATACAACGCGTCTCCGCAGGGACACCAAGAGCCCTTTGCTTCGCTTCATAGGTCAGCAGCATGTCCCTACGGGCCTTATGGATAGACAGTTGTTTCACATAAATATCAATATTACTGCACATATATACAAACAGATACAAACACATTGAACATCATCATTAGTTTAATAAAATGAACTACTCACCTTGGAAATCTGAGCTTTTTCACACTGTAAGTTCTTGATGGAATTATTACTGAAGTCAAACTTTTCCTACAATCAAAAACAGGTTTCTTTTATGTTCTTGTCCAACCAGTAAGGCAACATACATAAAATACACATTGCAACTTACAAAATATGTTAAAGAATGTAAATGACATCAGTAATTATGAGTACAAGGAAACAATAAAACAAAAGGGGGATATACAACAGTACCTCGATTTTGTTTGTGACCTCACTGAGGGCGATATGGTCCATGTTGGAGGCAGCGAGCACCGAGCTGAGCTGAGCCTGCGTCTTCTCCAGGCTGTCTGTCAGAGCTTTCAGCTTCCTCTCCAGCAGCATGCTCTTCACACCTGCTTTATGCTGCATCTTCTGAAGATTCTGAGTGAATGTCGTGTACAGCTCGTCCCTCTCCAGCTGAAGCTGTGTATGTACACAGGAGCACATGGGCAGACACACACCAACATTCACATAAATGCCCAAATGTACACAAAGTATTAGGCTCTCATTCAAGGTGCAACATGACATGCTTTTACCTTGCTGAATTTCTGTTCCAGTGCCTCATGATCCCATTTCAGATCCTTTAGCTCCTTTTGTCTGACCGTTTCACTGGTGTCCTGTCAACAGTGTCACATATTAAAACCTGGTGCCCATGTACAGTATAACAAGGCACAGGTAGCAAGAAAAATAAAAGTGCACAAAATTCAAAAGTAAGCTCAGTTTTTAAACATTCACAAAGATTGACACCAACATAACCCTTTGTCGTCACGTAGCATTTCATTTTTTTCTCATTTTCAGCCATTTCCTTCTTCACGTTTGAGATAAGCTCAGCGAGACGCTTGTTCTTCTGCACAACAGGAGCCAGGGCCTTTTCCTTGTACACCTGTTTCGCCCTCAGTTCATTAATTTCTCTCTAAGAAAAGCCAATAAAAAAAATCTCAATCAAAACAAGTCAAACTACAGAACATTGTCATAATTTATCAAAGATTTTAGAAGATTATAGAATAGAGATAATTCATTGTAGAGATTTATCAATAATGAAAAACATTCAATAGTTGCAAACATCTGAAATTTCAGTCTGTGTACCTTGAGTGAAATATTTATTTTCGAATCGTCCTGCATGCGATTAAGGAGTAGATTAGCCTCACTGAAAGCTTGGTTGTGGTTTTCTTTAAGATCATTAATGTGGCTGCTCCAATGTTCCTCTCTTTCACTGATCTCATTTTTCCTCATGTTGTCCAGCTCTCTTGGCAGAAACTCCATCTTTTTCTCATACTTGGCTTCAATTTCTACAAAATAGCATCACAGAATATTGGCTCCCATTTAGTTTTGAGTATTTAATTCAACTCTAACTGAGTTTAGTTCTTTACCTGCGAGTTGCTTCTCTAATCTGTTCCTTGTTTCAGTCATTTCTTCATCATGTCTCTGTTGAAATAAAAGATCTTTGTAGCACTGATGCTTACTTGTTGAAATATATCAGGGTAAATAGAAACATTAAATCCACAGATCTTTAACTTTAGAAATAAAATAGTCTTGGCGTGTACAAACCAGTTCAAGTTCCTTGACAAGCTTTTCATTGTCGAGCTCCTGCATGTCTACCATGATGTCCCTCATTTTCCTGTGAAGTTCAGTCTCTAATTTTTCTTGCTCTTGCTGCACCACCTCAGTGGAGACTAAACCGTCGGCTTTCAACTCACAGATCGTGTTCTGGTGTTCACACAGGAGGTGCTTCATCTTCTGCTTATACACCTAGCACAGAAAAAATCATCAAATGTGTAAAACAAAGTCATTAATTTAGCCTGACCATGGATAATATTTGCTCGCCAGATATCAATACACAGTAAAATGTGCCAAAAATTGGGTGAGCGTCCTATGGAGGCCCAGTAACTGATGTTTTGATCCATTGTTAGGGCCTGTAGCGGGTATCAGACTGTGCCACAATTCTGTTGCCTAACATACCTTTAAAGGAACAGTGTCTTATATTTATTGGCAGAAATGAAATATAATATATATGCTTTTATTCGTGTATAATCACATGAAAATAAGAATCATTCTGTTCTTGTTACCTTAGAATGAGCCTTTTATGTCTACTATTTATATATATATAAAATTTTGTACAGTAGTCCAGAAGGGACCAATCAAAAACTGGCACTAGATAGGAGTGTTTGCGTTTCTCAATCGTTTTGCGGCCACCGTAGTTTCTCTTTCACACTTGGAAGGAGAGGGTGAAGCAATGGAGTTGTGATCTGCAACATGTCCATTTTTCTGTAACAACCTGTGATAAACAACATAACACCTTTGGTGCTAATAGGAACAAAACAGTGTAAATTAGTGCAGGTTTTCATTATTTACACTATCAAGTGGCTTTTGTTGGTCTAGTAATTAAATAATATATTGTGATGTAGTTCTAGTGATATATATGATGAGACAGCCTTCATACCTGTTCTGACTTGGGAAAATCTAGCCTGTGAGTTTGGGTACAGTTTGACTTTGTACAGCTAAAGCTGTGTATTAACCTTACCTTGATCTCTACTTGGTGGCGACCCTCATCCTCTTCTATTTCCTTATCCAAGTTTTTCCTTTCAGCCTTGACCTCCTCTAATTGTCTGTCTGTGATCTCCCAAAAGGTGTGGATCTTGTCCCTCTCCAGCTGAAAGTAGTTTCTCTCCTCCCTCTCTCTATCCAGCTCCTCTCGAAGGTGCACAATGTGCTCTTCCAGCTGAAATAAAAAATACTATACTGTGAGCATATATGAGCCGGCCATGGGATGAGAGACTAAAAACACAAAGCCTGCATTTAATACTGGACGGAGGAAGATTGGCAGGCATTTAGCAGGCAGGGATGCTTTAAATGAAAAGTGGTAGTGGTTCTGGTAGTATCTAGTATTTTGAGACCTCACTCTAGGAACTGAAGGTCAGGATATCTCTGCTGCATTGATTTTGACCCTTGTTGTTTAAACTTGTCTCCTGGGAGTCCCCCAAGCTGTATGGAAGTGAAATACTAACTTGCTAAAAACATCCCTTTAATGTACAGATCACTTCGAGCAGGAAACTTTTATTTCCTCCTGACATAAAACATTCAAGCATCACTCCATACTTTCAAACATCACACTTCAGATCTGACCTGCTCCTTGGACATCTCCTCCTTGGTGAGGCCATCTATCAGTGTGGGCGTCTTTGCCTTGGCAGACTTTTTACTTGAGCCTTTGCTTTTGGGTGGCTGGACACAAGTCAACACAACAGAGAATGGTTAAAGTATCGAGTATCTAGCCCCAGTCTGTGTCTGAATGTGGTTAATAAGTTACATGAGACACAAAAACTGCGAGTCAAATATGACATTCACACACCAACCAAGCGTTAGCTGCTAGTTAGTAAGCTAACAGCTAACGCTAGCTATTTACCGCTATGAGCTCACTATGGTTGTGATTAATTCATTTAAAGGACGCTTTGCTCACCATCGTATATGCTGCGTAAGTAACACAGAGAGACAGGCAATGTGTCGATGGTTTTGAGTAGCTAGCACACAGTTAGCAGTTAAACTCAGAGACTGCTGTCAGTCTCAAACATATGTTACCATAGCAACGTGAGCACGCGGTTACTATGTGATGAGACGTCTCCAGGAGGAGGGGCGAGCTGTACCTGCACTGACTCTCCAAACTACACAATCAATACTTTTACTCAAGTAAAGCACTGAAGTATCATTTTTAAGGGTGCACTACTATTTTTCATACTATGTTATTCTTCCCCTCCACATTTCATCGGGGGAAATACTGTATTTTGTAAAACTGCAACTTTAAGGATTCATATTTAGCATTTCTTCAGTTTTTCATAACATACAATAATGTAGTTGTAAGTAGTACCATGTTTGTGTAAATTTATGCTTGTCAACAACTATTACTCTTCCTGTGGGCACCATAAATGGGAGCTGCTGATAACGATGAAACAGTTATTACAGATAAAACAAATCAAAAATACTAAAGGTTCCCTTTCTTTGGTTGTGAAACATGTTCCCACTTCTACATGGGAGTTTTCCTGATCTCATCCTTCTGAGTTTCATTCCCTGGAACAGCAGAAATAGAAATAAATAGATTGCCATGAACCTTTGTTCAGACATTCACGTTCCCCTCAGAATGAGTTTTAGTAACTTGGATCAGCTCAAAAATTATTTTATTACCAAACACCTGCAAAGTCAATGATATTCCTATCAGCCTGCTGTAGCTTGTGCTAATCAGCAAATGTTTGCATGCGAACAAAAACACTAATAAACATGATAAACATTACACACTAACAGGCTGCTGCTGTTAGCATGCGTGACAGAATGGTTGTAGACTGTTATGCAATTGCTTAAGTTTCATATGCATCTGTTTGCTTTACAAATCACCATTGAGAAAGCATCACTACAACGCAGTAGAAAGATTCATGAGCGACCAGAATTAAACTTGTGTCTTGCAAACTTTATTATTGTTTATTATCTTTATTATTGACGCTGTAGGTTGTGGTGTTGTATTGGATTGTATTATACTACAAGGTGTTTGTAATATTTCAGCTACTCAGTTCATAAACAAGGTGGACACAATAATCAAAATCATTTGTTTATTTGTTATAATAACTATTTAAAAACAGACAACTATGTACATTTCCGGTGTAAAAATATTGACTTTTGAAGTCTTAACACAGGAGTTCATGGTCAAACATTGAGCACAGGGATGTCAAAGAGGTCACAGAGGCCTTCATTCTCATCCAGATTGTAGGCATATTCCTGTTCAGATGGGGGCGGAGACAGACGGAGGATTGGGGAAAAAACTGAGGGGCAGAGTTAACACGAGGTTAACAACAAGTAACAATATATAATAGACATGAATAAAATATACACCAATCAGCAATAACATTATGACCACCTGCCTAATATTGTGTAGGTCGCCCTTTTGCCGCCAAAAACAGCCCTAACCCATCGAGGCATGGACCCACTCCACTAGACCTCTGAAGGTGTGCTGTGGTATTTGGCACCAACACGTTAGCAGCAGATCCTTTAAGTCCTGTACATTGTGAGGTGGGGCCTCCATGGATCGGACTTATTTGTCCAGCTCATCCCACAGATGCTCGATTGGATCAAGATCTGGGGGATTTGGAGGCCAAGTCAACACCTAGAACTTGTTGTTGTGTTCCTCACCATTCCTGAACCATTTTTGCTTTGTGGCACGGTGCGCCATTATCCTGCTGAAAGAGGCCACTGCCATCAAGGAATACCATTTCCACGAAAGAGTGTACCATGGTCTGCAACAACGCTTAGGTAGGTGCTACGTGTCAAAGTAACATCCACATGAATGGCAGGACCCAAGGACGCCTGTGACCCTGTCTCCGGTTCACCACTATTCCTTCCTTGGAGCACTTTTGATAGGTACTGACCTCTGCAGACCGGGAACACCCCACAAGAGCTGCAGTTTTGGAGATGCTCTGACCCAGTCGTCTAGCCATCACAATTTGGCCCTTGTCAAAGTCGCTCAAATTCTCACAGTGGCCATTTTTCCTGCTTCTAACACATGAATCTTCAACTGAATAAAATGTTCACTTGCTGCCTGATATATCCCACCCATTGACAGGTGCCATGATAACCAGATTATCAGTGTTGTTCACTTCACCTGTCAGCGCTCATAATGTTATGGCTGATCGGTGTATATGAAGTCAGAAAATTAAACTTACCTTCAGAGGTCAAAAGCTCTTTGATTATATCTGCATTCATTAGTTCTGTAGAATGATGAATACATGCTTAATCATACATTCATATACAGTCAAAGTTACAAAATAATTTAATGAACAGAAATAAGACAGAAGATACAACAAGGTCCCTACTTTTGGTGGGCTGTAGTAGGTCCTCCAGTTCTTTTGATAAGTCTTGCACTGTAAAATAGAGTTTTAAAAAATCTATGTAAAACAAATTTGCACTGAAATAAACATGCTTGAAGCAGGAACAAGTTATTGTATGAGCATACTAGAAATAATCGAAGATGCAGAGAAAGACAAATCAAAACCAGATCTGAAGGTGTGCTGTGGTATCTGGTCTAAGTTGGTTATTGCAACAGCAGTTATTTGCCTCTCTGATTGATCCAGACTTTAGATCAATAGGGGTTGAGTTCAAGGTAAAATATTGTGTTAGGTTTCTTTTTCATATAGCAACACACACATCAGAGACTCTACAAACTAAAATACTCACACTGAGATGTATCAGTTCTGTTAGGCTTGCTCTTCATAAATGACGATGACTGAAGATGCCGCATGTCCTCTAAGCCCGTCCACCTAGGTCTGGTGCTTTGTTTGGTAGCAGCGGAAGCCTGACATGGTGCGATACTGCTTTCAGTCTCATCTGAAGTGGACATGGCTAATTTGGCGTGCCGTAAAATTTCCTCAGGCGGTGGGACCGGCAGTACGACGGGAACTGAGCTGACAGAGAGTTTGTTAAGAAGAACGACATCTATTGGCCCATTAATGCTTTTCAGGTGGATCTGGTACTTTGCCGGGCTGTTCTGGACCTGAAAGGAGATATACACACATACTAAATAATCCCATCTGAACTAAAGAAAGCCATAAGGAAAAACTACAGTAGGTTCTAGTGACGCAGGACTTACAGCTTTGGGAATGGGAACATCTAGCTGTGTGCCAGATGGTGCTTGTACTGCCAAGAGTGTGTTACCTGGAGAAAGAGGAGTGAAAATCATTCACTTTTCATACACCAGTCATCAACAAAGAAATCATTTTGTCTGGTCCTTCTATATTTTATATATTTTAAGTTAAAATAAATGTTAGTAATTATTTTTGCCTTTACTCTGAAAAATCTGCAACAATGTCGACCCTTGTGGTGATGTAAGGACCTTTATGAACTTATACAGCAGTGTTTTTCCAGCTGTGTTGACATTAATCCAACTAGGAAAACACACTGAAACGCCAAAACATCAGCTGATTCTGAGCTACAATCTATTTTGTGAACTCTACATCTCGCCTGTTCAGAGCCTAAAATTCTCCTGTTACACATTTCTCTGGTGTCAATCTAGTAAGGGAAATCAATGAGGAATAATAGTTTCTGACTCATGCTGCCACTCTACTTTTCAACTGTATCAAAAAATATGGTGACACAAGAAAGGGAAAAGTCATGATACATACCACTGAAGCAGTTGCAGATATCTTCATGATTCACATAGGTCAGAGTTGATTTGAGTTAAGGTTTAATTTGAAAATGTCAAGGACTCTGTGTCAGTGTCTCAGAAAGTAGCAGCCATGCATGACAGACATTTACTAGAATAGATTCTGCCAAAGAAAGTACAGCATTTGTGTCCGAAAGGAATAAAAGACATTAAATCTGAGTTAAAGTTAAAAAAAGCAGGAAAAGTAAAACATTTCCAACAAACACATTTCTTTGCTACATTTTTTGTAAAAAGGATATTTGCTGCAGTCTTCTGTTGTGTTCCTGATACTCTGTTCAACCCAGAATTTCTGCTGGTCCAACATATATTCCTTCTGCTCCAAGTCCTCCAGCTCAGACTTTAACTCTGTCAGTCTGTTGTTTGACTGGTGCGTATTTTCTCCTGGCAGTGTGCCCCTTATTTAGAAAAAGCATAAGTAAATATAGTGTAAAATATATTTTGCACAACCCTCTTAAAATACATTGCATATCTAAATGCATGCACATGAGGCAGGCTTAAAAACGTACCTCCACTTCACAATGCTTTTGGAAATTTTCACAATCAGACCAACACCCTCCAGCACATTTGTGATGTCGTAGATTCTCCTTTTCTGTCCGACAGCCAAGACCCTGACAGCCTGAAATGACACAAAAGCCTCCTTAGCCTCATCCTCTGAAAATTTCTGTTGAACAAATATCCACACAGTCTGTGATCCAAGTGTCTCAGGGGATCAGCCAGCCAATTGTACTGAAACATTCAGAGATCACTTACAGCAGATATTACACGTCCAAAACTTGTTTTCCAAAACCCAATTAAGCACTTAAACTAGGGGTCTCTAACATGTTGCCCACAGGCACCTGGCAGCTGCTGAGCAACCTATGAGGAGTCCAGAGAACTATTATGTAATCAAACATAAAACACTTAAAAAAACATTTAAATACATGACTGATATTATTCATTAAAAAGGTATACTGAGACTTCCCTTTATTAGATATTCTGAGTTGACTTATTCTGCCCTTCTGCATTTGGCTAAGCCCGTGGTGACTTTCACTGAGTTGCACTTTTAGATTTTCATGGTCTATCATTTATCATTGATCATACCAGCAGATTTTTCATAAGATCATTTACATTTACCAAACCTGTAATAACAATCAAATTGGCTCAACCCTGTATATAAAAATGACTAAAGGTTAAAATACACACCACTGGTATACTACCGAAAGAATCATTCTAACATGGATGTTCATTAAATATCAGAGTAGACATTTAGGTAGCCCTCACTCTCAAAAAGGTTGGAGACCCCTGACTTAAACTGGAGCTTCAAACAAAAGATTCTGCTAAATTAATGAAATATAATGTAGTAGTAAAATAGTTTTAAGGTTTTTACTTAAATGTAACATGGCATTTAGTTAA